TATTAAACTTGTCATCCTTTTCATTCAAGAAAAACTAATAAGAATTTTAACAATTGGCTCTGTCACTTCCTGCAGCTTAAGATACTCTTTGAAGCAAAAGAAAAATCAAATATACAGAATGAATGTCATATTGAACATCGGGCTGCCTATTGTGCTATCCTTGATTTCGGTTCAATGAATATCTCCTGAAAACTTCATGCGATTTGAATGTATCTAGGCCAAAACCAATTTTTTCTGTGGGAACTTTAACCTATGATGTGAAAATCTTTGTTATAAAATATTCACTCCCTTTCCGAAAACTTAGAGACAACTGCCTTAGAGCCAAAAGCAGTTAGTTAGAATCAGACTTTTTTGTTCTTTCTGAATATGGGCTCAGAATTTCGTTCTGAAGTAAAAGTGAACAACTATCATCGGATTGTTTTAAAAAATTCAAAACACTATTTTGAACAATTTTATATGTTCGATTGAAACCTATTAGATTCAAAATGCAAAACAGCTTTTAATGAGTCAGTTTTGTTTGCTCTACAAAGGGTTCTAATTATTTTTGCATGACATATTTTCAAACTTTTGTATTTTTAAAAGCAGTTTTTGAAAACGTAATATTTTTGCCAATGTCGATTTCCATAGAAGTGAGTCCATTAGTGGAAACGTATAGATATGATTTTGCTTATTGTAAAATCTCATTTTGTACAGAATGTAGTACTCTACAGTTATGTTGACTCGAAGTTGTTCCTAAACACAAACTAAGTACTGCATCAAAACAGCTTTTCTGCTTTGTACAGACATAGTTTTGGACTTTTTCATAATTAACTCAGAGGAAAAATCTGAAAATATATTCGGAAATAGCAAAAAATTCTCATTCTAACACGCTGTCTTTTATTAGTGGAAAAATAAATGAATACTTTGTGGCAAGACTGTCTCGCCGTAGGTTAATTATTTAATATTTATTTTTTTTGACTTTGTCTTCTCATTTCCTACTCGAAACCTTCACAGTTTTTTCTGCCACAAAAAATCATTTTATCTGTCCTGCGATCTTGGTGTTGGTAGTTGAAGTGTACAGGATTGAAACCAAAAGTCGTATTTAGATGCTCAATTATTTCAGGATGAATTACTCTATATGTCACCTTAATCAGACGAAAACCTATTGAGAGAATAACATATGTGTGGTATTTATTGATTGAATAAATAAATAACAAGAGTCAAAAGTTTTCAAGCATTCCATCTCCAAGATCAAGGTAGATCGAAACCAAGACAAGAACGAAATCTTAAGAAAAGAATTTATAACAACCACAATAAAAAAAAAATACAATCCGCATGTCTCTTGTTTCCACTCAATCGACTGTGTATATTTGGCTTATGACATATTTGAATCTGTGTGTCGTATACATATATAATGCTTCAAGTCTCTGTGCTTTGAATGGGCAAATTTATCTTAATCTTATAGAAACATACTTGGCAACTAAAGTATAAAGTCAAATGATGACAGCGAACTACATGAATTTCGTTTTTTTATATAAGAATTAAAAATTTGAAAAAAAATGAATATGATTTATTAGCATTTATCATAGAAAGATAAAGAATACACAAAGTAAACTAATTCAAAAAGAAAACAATAATCTTTAAGTTCAAAAATAAATTTCAACTTACATGAAAATCTTGTTTAGTTTCTTGAATGCCAATATTATTTGTAGATTTCGTTTGTGAATAAGATTTTTCAATTTTACTTTCATCTGTTATATCTTGATCATATAGATATTCATTAAGAATTGAATCAAAAAAATTTAATGTTTTTTCAATTTGTGCATCATCATCATTATTATCATTTTTCTGTTGTGTAAATTTATGTTTTTTATCATATTGATTTTGTTTATTCATCTTGCTTTTTGATACAATTGATTAATTAAAGAAAAAAATATTTGTATACAGAATAGATGAGTTCTATTGAATAATTTTTCACGAACACCTAAATATTAAAATAAAATTATAAAATTGAGATTCAATTTTCTTCTTTATCTTTTTCGTTAAATACTCGTCATATAATGTTTGCTAGTGGATTAAATAAAAAGACGTCCTTTAAAATTAATAGGGATATGCAGTATTAGTACAGTATTTTATTGTACCTGTTGTCGCATCAATAGTTCCTAATGATTGTATTACATGGTTTAATTTTCTCATAGAAAGATTTAGAATAAAGAAAAGCTTTATTTATAGCATTTAACTATATTTAGTATATTGTTAATGAACAACTATCTATGAAACTGAGATTGAATATCAAATAACAACGACCTTCGTCATGAAAGTTTTCATTATAACCTTTATCTTTTTTTTTATTTGACGTTTAGCAAGTATATTCATTTTATCATACATAGAACGATTCAATCCGTGATTTGTTTTTTTTTGTTTTAATAACCCTAAATTTTATTCTCATATTTTTTTACTACTAAAATTATCTAATTCATCAAAGATGATAATAATGAAATCATAATTTAGTACGTCTGATGTTTGATAAAAAAAACATAATAAAATCAACGAAGTAAATATTCGCATACATGACTTTTATTATAGCATAAGCATTTTCATTGACAACAAAGATTTTCTTTTCTTTCGAATAGAATGATAAGAAAAAAAAATCATATCTGACTTACTTTATAATTATCGAATTTTGTTTCCCTGATATATTCAATTATTTTATTGTAACTGTAAGATGATGAATAATGATAGATTTTCTGTCATCGGATCATTGTTGGTTAGAGGTATTCAATATAAAACAGAATATACTGAAAGAAAAAAAAGTCATTCATTATATTCATACGGCCTAGATAGGTACAAACAAAAAGTTCATCGATTGCTATTCACATTCAAGATTAAAAAAGGACATAAAATACTTAATTTGGTGGAAGTTTATTGGTGATGCATGCATACATTAAAAAAAAGTATTTGCGCGAAAAAACACAATCATCCCTTTATGACTGCATATATATATATATATACACGATATAATCTCAGCTTTAGGGTTTTTTTACGTCCCTGCATGTATACACCTCCTACTTCATTTTTTTTTGTTCCTTAAAAGAGAAAAAAAGACTTCAATAGAGTATTCTTAACTATTTGTTGCACATATACATATATACATAAGAAAAAAAATATTTTGTATACATATAGAGATCGATTTCATCATCGTCGTTGAATGATATTCAAACATGTATCTTATCCACGTGTTGATAAGAAGACGAAAAAGAATGTTTAAGAGACCTAGAAATAAAATGACATTTACGGTATCATTAAATATATTATGGTAATGCTTTACTGATAAAAAACAATTAATTAAATTGAATTTAAATATTCTATTGAGTTTTATATGCAATTAAAATATATATCAAAATAATAATTAATTAATATTTAACAAATAGTCATCTATTAAACATTTTAGTAAAAACATAACGAATAATATAATATTGACATCTATATACATTTTTAATCATTAATTCTAATAAAAATAAATTTTTATTTTATTAATCATTATTTCATTTATCGAAAGCGAACAATATTTTATATTTTATAACTCTGAGTACTTGATCAGATCAACATCATTTTTTTTTCTTCTTTTCTGCATCATTCATCTCTCTATTATATCCACTTGAATATCGTTTTGTGACAGTTTTTCATAGCTATTAAGATGTATATTTGTATTTGTTTTTATATAATTGGTTCAGCTATGAATATATTCATACATTTGCAAGAATCTTGAATTTAAAATTGTGAGAACGGAATTGACGAAGAATAATCGATCAGAGCTCTTGAAAACAAAAGAATAAGAAATAAAACAATGAATTATATATAACAATCGAGAGAACATCGCTTCATCTGATCCTATAAATCGTTCAATGCTCTTTCTCTATGTAAACAGACACTCTTCTCTTCACATATTTCAATACTAAGCAAAAGAATGTTAAAAAGAAAAGAAAAATGACAAGCATAATGGTACACATGACAACAATATCCTTTAGGGTTATACGAAATTTGAGAATTTAGCATCAAAATGTAGACGCGTTTGAATCAAAAAATCATATAGCTATATATGAATTAAGATGAATTCACAAACACGATATTTTGTATTACAAAGAAAAAGAAAACGATACAACTTCTAATAAATAAAATTGATAATATCTAATTAAATGAGTTCTTTTGTTTATCTTAACAGAGAACTTCAATAATCTAGACAAATAATCGAACTTCATTTTTTGTTATTTGATACATATGATAATGAGATATGTTCATTAAACTTTTGGATGAAATACAATCTTTCGTCAATAGATTTTACTATTTCAAAGATTGTCGAGACTATGCATAGTTCGAAGTTCTATAGTACATACTTCTTGAAAATCAATACTCTATCTACTACCAACAAAAAGAAATACAACAATCTAGACAAAAGATTAAATGATTCGATTAATGTTTGGCTTGTGTTAAAAGTCCTATGTAAGATAATTCAATCGAAACTTCATTGTGAAGATCATTCATCATTGATATACAAATCATTGAAGAAACAAATTATTTGAAATAATCTGTTCTTGAAACGCGTTCTATGCCAGTTCTATGTAACATAAACTTGTACAAAGAATATCTTTACATAGTAAAATTTTGTTTTTCTTTTTAACTTTTAACTGATAAGTTATATGATCGGTAAACAGTATTGTAATAAGAGGTACGCAGAATCGAATGAATATTATAACGACGAAAAAAAAGGTTAATGAAGCCGAGACGGGCACTAAAGGTTATCGGTAGATTTTCTAATGTTTTGAGTGAATCATTCTATAAGTAACCAAACTCAAGAGAGAAGACTAAAAAACGAACGATATTTGTCGACATGTATTAATTAAAAAAGGTGTATTTAAATCTTTTTTAGAATAGATACAAAAACATTTTGAAATAATTTTCTCTAGGACATGACAAAAACTGATATTAGTCGTCAAAACAAAAGGATCATCAAGGCTAAGACTAGTTTGGTTGTGCTAGAACTATGGTCAGAACTACTAGGAGAAAAACTACTCGAATGGACACCGAGATCATCACATAAGATGGTCAGTTCCTATTTTCAGAAAATTCAAAGGAAAGGACTGAGAAAAATTCAATGAACATTTAAATCAATGGTTTGAGAAATAAGCAAGGATTTTATTTTAATATAAAAAGAATAAAGAAATAAAGTGTACACTTTTTGAATTAGGTTAGGTCAGGAAATTTATTTTGGGTGTCGTATAAGTAAGACTCTTGTCTTAACCAATTTCCCCACTTCCATACTGTCCGCTACATCCACACACTATATATATTTCATAATAGAATCAATTTTTCCGACCAATTCAATACAAACTAAGAGTTATATCCCTCCAATGGAATGTGTAAACGTGAATTTAGCTATACTACATCGACATTTTATCTGAACCTTTACAGTAGTATTCTTTAACTGTTATCGTTCATTGCATAATGTTGTACAGAAATTTGAATTTCCTAGACATTGTTGTAATTTATTATGTCCTTCCGGAGGTTGAAACTCTAGACCATGGTCCTGTACATCTCAAAACGTCTTCCCATTCCCTGACTATATTTATTTTAAAGTTAATAAGAGAAATGATAATGCAGTTAAAGCAGTAATTTGACGCAGAGTACTAGAAACAGAAGGCTACACTTAATCGTTCTCAATTACCAGCTCATTCATTGCCTTTTGACTGTCCATCTGATGATGAACAACATCACAAACAAAACATTAGTACTGCGACTCGATCAGGTAAAATGAAGAAGGATGCCGTCCTATCTCACTTTACTCTTCGATCTGACGGTAAATACAACTGCAATACTTGTCATCAGGTAATTTCTATCTTCTCCTTAAAAATAACGTAGGAAGATACTTTCAATAGCCGTTAGCAAGAACGGAAATTAAATAGAGAACAACTCTGTTGTTCAATGCAGTAGTTTTATCTAAAGAAAAAATAATGACTTCGACTAAAAAAGTATCTTTTGTCATTTCGAATAAAATTATTTCGATAAACTGAGTCTTTTCGAAAAATCAAGTCAAAAACGTTCAGAAGAGTACACGTCTATTCAAATAAACAAATATTAAACATATATTGATAACAGTTTCGCTTGCTTTTCCTTGTCTCTTTTGTTTCGACTATTATTTCAATTGAATATTTCATCATTTTTTTTTACTTTGATAGGTATATGTGGCAAACAACGGATCAGCAACTAATCTACGTCGTCATCTATTCGCAAAGCATGATATTACAGCTGCTGTTTATGATTCACAATTAGCTGAAATAAAACCAAAACCTGCTCCAAAAAAATGATACTACAACAACTCTCTCAAAAACTCGTACAAAAGAACTGGATAAAGCAATTGTCGATTGTATTATTGATGATTCATTACCATTTACTACATTTATGAAATCCGGCATGGTCAATTTACTTAAAACATTCGATTCTCGATATGAACCACCTAGTCGATTCACCATTGCTTCCAGAGTAGGCGATGCCTACCATGAATATATCGATCAAGTACAAGTGAATTGATGATGACCGTAAGAAGAATAGTTTATATTAAAGGCTACTATATAAGTTTAGCTTCTTCTTCATGCTCACATGAATGACAAAATATTTCTAGTCATAACAATTTTCATGCGATGAAAACTTCATCTTGACAAGCAACTCTTCGTTTTATTAAGAGAGCAGGGACCTAGCGTTAGATATTCTCAATGAACGCAATACGGACTACTAAAGAAGAGAAAAGGTACTTCTTATTCAAATTTACTTGCGCTTCTTCTACAAATATTTTTTTGATCTATAAAGAAAACATTAGGGGAAAAGATCGGATGATTGAAATAATTTCACTTTTCGATCATCAAGTTCTAAACTAATACCAAATAGGGGTAGTACTTTACTTTTACTTTATAAAATAAAGATAAATGAATCCTTTACTCTTAAAAAATAAAGATAAATGGATCCTTTATTTTTAAAAAATAAAGATAAATGATCGTTTATTTTTAAAAAATAAATGAAAATGAATCATTTATCTTTATTTTTTTAAAATAAAGGATTCATTTATCTTTATCCTTTATTATAAGGGATAGTAAAGATAAAGGGTCACCCCTAATACCAAAATGTAATTCTGTTCTTTTTTTTAGTCTATATTGAAACGTGTACCAGCTGTTGCTTTTACTGCAGACATCTGGAAGAGTGGTGCCAGAAAATATTACATTTCTTTAACTGCTCATATGTTTGATGAAGAATTTACAGTTGCACCACTCGTGTTATCTCTACGACAACTTACTGAACGTCATCTCGCCGTCAATATTCAATCGTTTCTTATGTTTGAACTTGATGAAAAATTTCAAATTAGGCCTGAACAACGAGCTGGAATAACAACCGATTGTGCACGTGAAATGGTTGCAGCAACATCACATGGTTTATTCGGTCCAAGACACGCTTGTATAGCACACGTGTGGAACAATGTTGTCATAAATGGTCTTTCCTTATGGTCACCACCAAACGTTGAAAAGTAAGTTTTCTCTTTTATATGTCTAGAGAGAATAGACAAAGCTAAACTCATTCAAACCAATGCATCTCAACAGTAGAAGATAGAAAATCGAAAAAGAAATGTCCCTATTATAGTTTAAGAAACAGCATATAAACTTCTCTGTACACGTCATCGGAAGAAAGATCATCGACAGAGTTCCAACCAAGCCACTAGGCCTGTCTGCCTGCCAGTGACAGACAGATCACTTGAAAAATGAGAGGGCGTCTGGTCTGTGTATTGTTTTTTTCATATCAAAGTTTTATCTCATAAATAGAATATGTTTTCAGAATACCGATACATCTGAATTAGTTTCCAAGGATAACATTTATATATGTCGAATTGGGTGAACACTTAAGAATGAATCTTGAAGATATCTAGAAATGATTAGATTTACTACAATTTCGGAAAGATTATCTACACAAACTTCGCTGTTTATCATAATCTGCTCGCCATCTTTTTCCGATCGCAGTTAGTTCAGATAAGATTGAACAATCTCTTTGTGCTGCATATTTAGTGCCCAGTGAATGTCGTTCCTCTTTTAATTGTAACACTATGATCGATATTTTTGTCTTTCAGACTCATTCGAAATGTTCTTGAATAAAAACCAGATTGTTCCTTAATATCAAGGGGCCACGATGAGAATGGATGAGAATATTAGAACCACATTCGCCCTCACTATCCAGTTTTTACGCCAGTTTAGTTCTCAATACTCAAAGTTTTCGCATTGGATGCACCTTGATTAACTGTAGAAATTCACACAATCCGCATAAATGTAAGTTCTAATTGTGCCCAGAACGAGTAATCCGAGTGTCGGATCCTACGGGAAACCCCAGACAATCTGGCAAATTTCGACGGAAAGTTGTCGGATTCTTTTCGATCGGATTTCGACAGGAAGTTGTCGGACGTTGGATCCGACAATCGAAAGATCTCGGAAAGTGCATGATCCGACAGGAATTCTATAACTAAACTAGATATTAATTACCTGGAGAATTGGTGCTTTACTATTCAGCCTTTTATTTTTTTCATAGATTATATAACTATTTAAATAAATAGCCATTCTATGAAAATCGGTGAATGAATTGCGAGTTTTCTGCTCTATTTCTATAGTAGTAAGCCAAAAAAACTGTCTATCAATTATGAGCTAAATCGTAATTCAGCTAACAACTAATCCACAATTCTTTTGGCTCGTTGCTATAGAAATACAGCAGAAAAATCGCGATTTAATCATCAATTTTATGAAAATCGGTAAAATCAAACCGATTTTCATGGCATGGGTACTCATTATTAAATTTTGATGTACAAATTGACCTAGAATAACGAAAACAAAATTTAGTTCATCAAATAAAATACTTACTGCCCAATTTCGATATACAAATTGACCTAAAAAAAAGAAAAAAAAATTATTTAATTAAAAGAAATGCATACTGCTCAATTTTGATGAATATATTGACCTAAAATAAAGAAAAAATTCATCTAATTAAATAAAATACTTACTGTTCAGTTTGAATGAACAAATTGACCTAAAATAAAGAAAAACAAGTTATTAAATAAAATAAAATACTTATTGTAGAATTTTGCATGAATATAATATGAAACATTTCTTTTCAAGAATCACATTAATCTTGAATTCTGCAATAAAAAATAGCTTCACTGTTTGTCAGACTGTGACTAAAGCGTATTTTGAATATTGATAAGAATGGACCAAACGACATCGATATTATCGGATATTGTCGTATCCGACGGTTTCCGACTGTCGGATAATATCGGATTTTCTCGGATCCTATCGGATCCGATGGGATATTTTCGACCTGTGTGTCTATTCTTAAAGTATCAGAGCACCAAATAATACTGTATATGTACAAATTTCAACTATTTTTTTCCAAAACTGATCAGGATCCTCTGAGAATTTTATTTTAAAGACTTAGTAATTGAAGTCTTGTTGATATATCGTTATCAGTAGTCTGTATTCTATTTATTGGTTTTCTGGCAAGTTTATGTGAAAACGTACAGTAAATAAGACGGATAACTGGAACATGATTAAGATTAATTTACAGTGTACCCTAAATGGCTGAATATTAATTGAGATCCAGTCAGTTTTCAAAAAAAAAAAGTTGAACTTCGTACTTTCACAGTATTATTTGGTGTTCACATAATCAAAAAATAGACGCAATTAGAATTTTCTATTTATGCTAATTGGGTGTTTTTATACAGTCAATTAAGACATGTTCAATCCTAAATCATTGATTTCTGAGAACTAACATAACATAAAATCGAAGTTTTCAAAATAACGACTGATAGTGATTTTTCTGAAGTTGGAATCGACCTAATTCCTCAATGACAATCTATAGAGAGGAACGCTTTATACCATCGCGATCAGATGACCGAGGTTTACAAAAAGCTCATTGAAAATGAAAGCACATACGCGAGAACTTTCTATTGTTAGTGAACACCTTATGACAGTGAACTGTCAATTTTTTTTCTAACTTCTACCAACTGTAATCTGATCAATTAAAAGTCCAAGTAGAAAGCTTGATTTTTTCCTCTCTCTGCAAAAAAAAACTTAACCTTTAACAGAGACCTTTAGCTCATAGTGAAATGGTTACTGTAGTATTATGAGCTAAAAGTCAGAGTAACAACTTGGCTTTTTTTTCTTTACAAATACAGGAAAAAAATTAAGCGTTTTATTGAGACTTTTAATTGATCAGACTATAGAAAAACCTTTCCAATGTAAACGTTTTTTTGTTCTACGTCTATTCTTACATGCTCTCGGACACACATAAGAAGGAAACATTCCTGTATAATGAACATTTATAATATTTCTGGGATGCTCACATTAGAGAGTTTTTACTATAGTTATATAAATTCATTCCAGTGACTTGTTAGACTCTCTACGAAGATTAAATTCTAATTCTACTATGATAATGATGCTCACATGAAAAAGTTAAAGAAACTTTGACAGACAGACCAGACAGAGTGGAGTGAACGGCAGGTAGATAGATAGACCAGGCCGAAGAAATAAGATGACAGGCACAGGCGGGTTGGGAAAAGCGTGGGCCTGCCTTAGGCAGGACAGACCTAAAACAAGTTGACGTGGTAGGATCTCTGATCGACGAATTCATCGAGAATGTCCATCGCTCAATTAATATCGAATACTAGCTAGAAATTTTCTGAGAATCGTTCAAAAATCGGTCAGCTACAGTAGTTACAGTATTTTCAATGCGAATGTTATGCATACCCATGCACCATCTTTGTATTGACTTTACAAAAGAAATGAATTGTTTCAGATTTCCAATTGATGAAGCGTCCATCATCAACAATGAATCGATTCATAGTATTGGTGGTGACGAGGATGATTTATTGGACGACGAAGACCAATATGCACAACAATTGAACGATGAAGAAACACAAGAAAATATTCATTTGGCTTCATCTCAACATGATCAAATTCAACCAACCGGATCCACAGTTGTGGTGCTCAACAAGAAAATAAGTCGACCATTTCAAGATGAATTCTTAAGTGAAGATGATGAACCAGTTATGATTCAACCAGAAACTCGACTAATTACTCTTGTTGGTCTTCTTGAACGTGTTTTCAATTTTCTTAGCCGATGCCGTCAACTGATACAAGACATGCGTAATATTGGTGTTGTTCAAACATACATATCGATGGAAATTGGGAACGGACGTGGTTTTACAGTTGATATGGTCGTAAGTTTTTTCTTCTAATTTTTCAGCGATAAAAACAAACTGAAACTGTTAAATTTCTAGATTTTCTTTTACATGTTCGGCTTAAATAGTTTCCTTTATGTTTTCAAATTCATCTAGATATTCTCCAAAGAAATTTCATTCAGAGGAAAAGCTAAATAAAAAGAGTAGGAGAATGTACAGATGTTTGTTAGATTCTTTCTGAAATATTGACAATGCAAATAAATTTATATCTATTTTCAACGCAAATTCACATCCTAAGTACCCATATCGGTGAAGATCTTTTTAAACTACTACTAGTCTAATCTAAACCGCTAAGATTCTTTGTCAATGATCTATTCTTTTAGTAAATGCTGAGAATGAATACGAAGAGTTTATCTTTGCCTGCATTATAGTTTGTAAAACAAACGTAATAAAATAAGTCATCTGTGACGTGGGACCATGCGACTGCTGTGCTATCTTAATATGACAGAATGGGCATTTGAAATTTAACTAATACAGGTCTTTTACGAGTAAGCTTTTCCTTTCAAAACGATCAAATAAAATGAATGAAAGGTATGATCTATTTACAAAACCTCTGCTTGAAAACGAATTTCATATGTGATCCATCTAATGTCACCCTAAAGACTCAATTTCCAGTAGAATAGAGAGAACTGTAGTTTTCACTGATGATTGATTAAAATCATATGATATTTTTCTTGTACTTTTTTTTGGAGATTCGGTGGAATACCACATTTCAAATGCTTGACCGTCTACTTGAACATCAAACAATCATCGACAATGTTGTTCGACGAAAATCCAATGGTCTTACTCTCGTTCAAACGAATCGACTTAAATTAGCTACACTTACTCCAAATGATTGGGATGTACTCCGTACACTCCATCACGTCTTGACCGGATTCGATTCTGCAACAACAATTGTTTCAGCTAGTCATTATCCTACTCTATCTGATTCATTTTGGGCAATAGCCTAGCTTCGTCAAATTTTAATTTCGAAAACAGATCCTTCTCGTTACATTGAACTTTTGAAAAAAACTGCATTGAATTATCTCGATGCATACATACAAAAACATTTATCAAAAGAACAACAAGAAGGAATGCTCGTAAGTCCACTTAAACTGATTTTCCATATATATATATAATAGTTATGTTTTGAGTTAAGAAGATTTGTAGAAAAATAATCTGTTGAAAGTAACTTCAAGATTCTTAGAATGAAAAAAAAATAGGGGTGACACTTTAACTTTAACTTTTAAAGTAAAGTTAAAGTGCCACTCCTAAAACAAACTGCTTGACATAGAATATTTTTTTTAACAAAGAAGGAGAGCTTTCTCCATCTCTCACATTTCAAAACCATCATTCTGTAACTCAACAATTTTAGTAGATTTCTTTTCATTGTTTCATTTCCACCGGACTATTTCTATCTATAAACAAAGAATTTCCAATTAGTTTTGTAGTTTTATCTGAGAAAAAGAAGCGATTTCTTTGTTTAGATTGCAGCATTTCTTGATCCAGAAACACATAACGATATGAACGAAAATAATTTTGCTAAAGCAATGGAAATCGTCAAACAAAAGATCGGTAAAATATCGACAACTACATCAACAACAGCAAGTACTGTATCTCGTTCATCACCAGCATCTTATTCAGTTCTCTCAAAAAAAGATACTGCCAAACAGTTGATGAATCGATTAGCTGGAATTAATACGAACCAAACGAATGTCAGATCAATGAGTGCTGATGTTGAAATTTCTTTATTCTCAAATGCAATCAAAACAAAACAAACTTTCAAGGAATTTTGATCTACAAATGGTCATTCATTTCCACGTCTTGCAGCATTGGTTCATCGGTATTGTATTGTACCTTCTACATCAGTTGCTAGCGAATCGGCCTTTTCGATCTCAGGATTCATTGCACGAAAACAACGTTCATCATTATCATCTCGTACTTTACGTCAACTTCTAGTCCTCAAGTATCGAAAAAATTTACTCAAATTTCAATCCACGGATCAACCGTCTTTATTTCAAAATCGTCAATTTCAATTGTTGTCTCTTGATGCTGCTGGATCATCTTCTGTGTAGTCGTATTCTGATTCATTCGGTTGTTATACATCGTGATATACCTTGGTTTATCAAGTTCTAGATATTTACTAGGTTTTCTTATTTTCCTGTTCATTTAGCTTTTGTCAACTATAGTTATATGTGTGTGTCTATCCATGTATTACATCATCTATAAATAAAGAGAAGAAAAAAAAATTGATATAAGAAAAATGACGTGATTTTTTATTCTTTTCTTTGAGGGAAGCGACAGCTGTAGACCAAGAATTGTATGAGTAAACTCTTGGTCAACGGAGAGTGAGATGACCCGTGATAATCGATCAGTATTCCTTTACTTTAACAATCTTGATCTTGAAAAATAAGCATTAATCTACATACAACAACCATATGCCTCTAGATTACGACCAATCGTTGAGAAAGAAATTTATCAAGTATTTCCAAATGAACATTTTTTTTGAGTTCAGAAAACTGTCTCAACTTCAGCTATTTCATCACATCAAGAAAATTAAATGAATTCAAATCATGAAAATTTTCAGAGATGTCGATTAGGTTCTATTTTTTTTAAATAGTGAAAAAACCTTGAAATCTTTATCTATGCAATCTATGGAAACTCTCAGATCTCTAAATCTATTGACGTCATCACAGTAGAAAATTCATTTTCTTCAGCATAGGCCAACAGAATCAGTATAATTGAACTAGAGAGTGATTGGAGTAGAGAATTTTCTTCAAAATAAAAAGTTATTTATTACTTATCTATTATTTATAACAAATAAAAAAAAGTTATTTGTTATATAATTGTTATAAATAACAATAACAAAAAAAGTTATTGTTATTTAATAACAATAACAAAAAAAGTTATTGTTATTTAATAACAATAACAAAAATAGTTATTGTTATTTATAACAATAACAATAAATTCTCACCCCTAGTCACAATTACCTTTTCGTTTTCTATATAAGTTAAATTTTCATTAATATAATTTTCGTATTGTCATAATACTTACGTGTTATGTCTTTTTTGCCAATTGTTGGAGGAAAATTTTTGTTCGTAGCTATGTATTCGTTTAAAGTGAGATATTCAAACAAAAATTCAAATGAGAGAAAGCAAACATTCACGTTTCGTAGTTGTTTATCTCAACATATTCGAATTTGTTGATGTTTGCTCATGATTGTCTTATATAACGTTACTCAATGAAAAACATCTCTAGAGGTGATATTGTGAATGATAGACATTTGTATCAACATGAGTTGATGATTGATAATCGCAGGAATATGTTACTGAGGAATGTATTTAGTGTTCTCTTTTATTAATAATAAGAGATTATGTATTTGTGCTCTTTGAAATTATATCAATAAATCGTTAAACGATGATGCTTAATTTTCTTGGTCATTACAAAACTTATCTATTTACAAGTATTAATTTTCAGATCGTTGACCATAATAATTTAGTTCCAACAAAACTGGCCGGTTTTTCTATTTAATAGAAATTTACACACACATGCAGATGAAGTCAATAGTTAAAAATTGATACTGTCTGTCAAACAATCTTATAATCATGGCAAAATATGTCCAAACGATTGTCTCCAGATGGAATATAAACAAAACAAAGAAGGAACTTCTTATTAGCCAAACCTAACAATCAATATGAGTAGTAAATGAGGAAATATTATTATATTTTAATTTTTATCAAAATTAGAATGAAAATTTTTTCTAATAGATGAGAATTTTATTTTATAATTATGCACAAGTATGTAATATGAAATGAAGAGAAATTTAAAAAAAGAAAGATTTTGATAACCTTATAAAGTAACATGCCATTATATATTATCCATCGATGTGTTTTTATTTACACACAATCAAAATCAGAATGTTTAGCACCAACAGACATGGCTGTAGAATAAAAGACTGTCCCTTATTGTACCAGTAATTACCACCAGTGGCATACCATCCTTGACTTCCGGGTGAATAGTAATTGTAAGGTCTATTATGATAATAACTCGGTCTCTGCCATGCGTTATTATTATTATTATTATTATTGTACATGTATTGTTGTAGTGATTGTTGAAGTGCTGTTGGTCGATTCGAGTTTATAAGATAGTTACTTAGAATAGAATCAGGATCATAACTTATAGATAAAATACCGCCATGTGGACTGTTTGGAGGTTTTATAAATGAACCATAATTCGGATCAGATCCAACGCCTAGATATGAACAAAGAAAAAGCAAGTACATCAAAAATATTTATCTAAGAAATTATGCAAACCATAATAGTAGGTGCCCGGAATAGAACCACTTGGATTGCTTGCCCAAGATGCTCGTTCCTGAACAGATAAAACTTTATTCTTTGAAGGATTCAATTGACGACGATAACGAGGATGTCCATGTGCTACAAATATCAATATTTTCATGTATATTTATTAAATTTTTTTAAAATATTTACTTATTGCTGTAAAAAATATAGTTACAAGAAAGAGTAAATACAAGTTTGAGATCATTTTTGATAGTGATGCGTTAATAGACAACGCTGACCAGATCACGTCGTTCTCCTTTTCTTATTTTAAGTAAGAGCGTCAATGACAGAGAAAAAGAATGTGACAATCGTTGTAATTTTTCTCTTTCTCTTTTTCTTTTTTTTCATTGCACATGTACTATTTCTTCTTTCTTTTTTTTTCATTCAATTTACTGTGCCCTGTTAAGTTCACAGTTTTACAAGAGAAAAGAAGAAAAAACAGACGGAAAGAGAATGAATATATTTTCTATCAACGCATCGATTCAGTTACATGATTCAGCCTGCATAAGGAGAACGAGTACGAGAAAGAGAGAAACAAAGTCTAACAATAGAAAAAAAAGAGGAATATAGCGCTGACAGAACATATATATTAGAAGACATTAATGAGCAAATAATTAAATATATAACTACCACAAAAAAAAACATTAGAATTTCATCAAAATTCAAGATTTTTTATTTCAAACTTTCTGTGTGCACTCCATCATCACCACGAAACAATAACAATAAACAAAAAGACAACTATCACATACATATTTATAGATACAACTGATTACTTGGACACAGTAATATGCACTTGAATAAAGAAACAGAACATATGTTCGCAAATATGTATTCGAAGAGCATTAGTTATGGTTTGTTCAACATGTTTTCAGCCAAGGATATGTATGCACTTTTTATAATAATGGATGACAAAATCATATTATTGGATCATAAACTATTGTTTAATAATTTTTATTTTTGGTAATCGATAGTAATCGTTTGTTGTAATCAAATAAATAGTTAATTAAAAAGTACAGATAAGATACATATGCATCTATTAGATATCAGTAGGTGATGATTAGTAATATGCAGTTAATAATACACATACTAAAATAAAATGTGTCGCAAAATGCGACATATTTTGTCCAACAAGGACGCAAAACATTCTCGCACAACACATTCGCCACATTATTTTTTGTTTTATCTCAAAACTAAATTTACACATTTTAATCCACTTGGTTTTTTAGATTCTTCTAATGACAATTTTTAAAATAATCTTATTTCAATAACGCATATTTATTTGTATCATTTATTTTTCAACGAAAAAACAGCAATGGTTTTTTTATGTAAGCAATTCTTTGTGTCATATTCAACAACTATGTTTAAGCTGCTATTAATTTTTTCCGGAAAAGAATTTTTGATTCTGAAGTTGGTATCATTTCCATAGAGGGCAAAATAATCTAATATTTTCAGTATTGGTTTGTTTTATCGTAGAAATTTGACATTATATACATAAAAAATGACCAACAATACAGCTAATATATGTATGCCATATCAGTATCAATATCTAAATTCAGTAAAATTCGGCCCGAATAGGTTAACTAAGAGTAACTTCTATTACAAAGAGTGTAGAAATAAAGTAATGATGACAAGTTTTCTTACATAGACAATGGAATAAGATTAATCTTGTTGATCTCATGAGGAAACTAAAATATATACATAATATGAAAAGACTATTGAGAAAAACGATCGATAACATATGCTTATTTCATGATGCAATATTTTAGACACTCGTCTAAGTATGCTAAAGAAAGTAAACTCTATCATGATGCATATTACATTTCTTGCAGAAAAAAATCAATGAAATTACTGAAATAATCAATAAAATTATGTGATGCATCTGTGTTAATTACAATGAAAATCGTGCAAAATTTATATGAAAGACATTACTCACCCTGTAAATCATTGGATAGGAGGAGATGATATTTTCAAAAAAAAAAGAGTTTGTTGGTCGATAATGATTGTGAAGCTATCAGTTTGAAGTGCTTCAACTATCTTGAAAAAATCACTCAATACAGGACAAAATCCAGATTGTTTTAAGTATTTTTTTTTCGCTGCAAGCCAGCAAAAATATGCATCTGTCTTGGCTACATCCAAACTTAGGATAATTAGAGATGAAGAGTCTATGCTAATATCGTTGCCAAACTCAGTCATTCACCAAGGCAGATTTGCTAAGGTCTAATAGAACATGCCCACTGATGTTGCTTGGGAATCACGATAATTGTAGAAGCCACACTCATTATAAACACAATTTTTTAAAAACTATCATGTATATAGAACAGAAAAATATTGTTGACAAAACGATCCTGTAAACAAATTAATCGGTCATAACATTTGATCGCGTTCGGCAAGTTAATGATTCAAGAAAGTCGTGTTTCTCGAGAAGTTTGATAAGCGATTCTTTAAAAGCAATTCTC